CGCGGAGGGGCCGCCCGGGCCGCCCGTGTGGCCCAGGACGCTCAGCACCACCACGGCCACCGTGGCCAGGAAGCACAGGCTGTAGACGGCCACGCACCACTGGGTGGCCGCGTAGCGCCCGTAGCCGCTGTCCTGGACCAGCGCCCCGAAGATGATGCAGGCCACGAAGGCCTGTAGCTGGCCACCTGGCCGGGCCGGGCCCGGGTCAGGGCCACCTCGGCCGCGTAGGCCAGGAACAGGAGCCCTGCGAAGACGCTGGCGGCCAGACGGAAGTCCCGGGCAGCGCAGCCCGCGGGCTCGGGCGGGCACTGCAGACGGGCGAAGTACAGCGGGTAGAGGACGGCCGCCGTGGCCGACAGCAGCGCGGCCAGCATGGCGAAGGCGGCTGTGAAGTTGCCCCAGGAGAGGCGCAGGCAGCCGTGCAGCCGGGTAACCTCGCAGACCACCACCAGGCCCGAGAGGGCGAAGCAGAAGCCCCAGGCGGCCATGCAGAAGGTGCCCTGCACGCCCGCGAAGCCGCCGCGGTGCGCCACCAGGCTGAAGGTGGCGCAGCCGAAGGCCAGCTGCAGCACGCGGGCCGTCCCCACCGGGGACGCCACAGCGCCCAGGTGCAGGTACCCGCCCCCGGGGGGCTCCATGGTGCTGCCCATCACAGGATCAGACAGGCTGCCTCCTGGCCTCACAGGGCGCCTGGCGGCCGGGGCTCCTCCCGGGCGGCGGCCGCTCTGCCTCCTCAGCGCGGAGGTGCCGGTGCCAGTGGCTGCAGTGGCAGTGACATTGCAGGGAGCAGCCGCTCCGCCTGGTGTGGGGGGGCCGGCCCAGCGCTATAAATAGGCGAGTGTCAGAGCCTGGGAATAGCAACCGGTCCCCATTCCAGGGGGACATCTGACCCCTGTGCCCCAGGCCAAGCCCCTGCCAGGACCATTAACCCCTGGGCTGCTGGCTCCGCCTCCTTCACAGCACCTGCCTCTGTCTGTCACTCCTCTTCCTGCAGGGGAGGGGGAGGGAGGGGAGCAGAGAGTGACCCGGTCACTGTCCCTTCCGCTCAGCAGCCTCCAGGGAGGGTCAGGAGGGGGAGGGGCAGGGATTGGGGTGGCTTGGTCCAGACGGGATGGTTGCAGGACCTGCTGTCATGGTCCCTGGGACACTGGGTCAGCTCTGTTCCGGGCAGGGGCCCATGGGGAAGGGAGGGGGCTCCTGGGGGCCGTGCCCCCTTTCTCCTCACAGCCCCCAGCCTGCCCTGGGTGGAGGTGTAGTTGTTATTTGGGGGGTGCATTATGGAGCTCTTGACCTGTCCCTACTAGACATGCAAACACCTAGAAGAAACTCAACTCCCAATTTTCAGGCTAAAATATTAATATGTACGAAAGGCTTGTGAAAATGAAAACATTTCTTTCTGAAGGTAGGAGTTGGAACACCCATCAATGCAGGAAACGAGACAGAAACATCGCCCGTGATCCTGTCGCTGGATGGACCACTATGAACATCTCATGCATGTATGTGTATGTGCATGCGTGTGTGTGTGCGTGTGTGTGTGTAATTACATAAGTATATCTATTTCCCCAACTTCATTTAGAAAAGTTTCACACTCACTGAAGAGTTGCGAAATAGCACCGTGAACATGCTTCCCCCTTGAATCAAGAATCAGTCCTGCCCTGGCCGGTGTAGCTCAGTGGATAGAGCGCCAGCCTGTGGATTAAAGGGTCCAGGTTCGATTCGGGTCAAAGGCACATGCCCGAGGTTGCGAGCTTGATCCCCAGTGGGGGCGTGCGGAAGGCAGCCAAGCAATCCTCTCTCGTCATTGTTGTTTTATCTCTCCCTTCCTCTCTAGAATCAATCAATATGTATATAAAGAATCAGTCCTGGCCCTGACCGGTGTGGCTCAGTGGATAGAGCGTCAGCCTGTCGACTCAAGAGTTCCAGGTTCGATTCCGGTCAGGGACATGTACCTTGGTTGCGGGCACATCCCCAGTAGGGAGTGTGCAGGAGGCAGCTGATGGATGTTTTTCTCTCATCAATGTTGCTAACTCTCTATCCCTCTCCCTTCCTCTCTGTAAAAAATAAATAAAATAAAAAATAAGTAAAAATTAAAAAAAAAAGAATCAGTCCTATTTTGCCATTTGTTCTCTCTCCCTCCCGCTCATTGATAGTTAATCATCAATAATAACGTTACCCTAGCCTAGCCGGTTTGGCTCAGTGGATAGAGCGTCAGCCTGTGATTCCGGTCAAGGGCACATACCTCGGTGGCAGGCTCAATCCCCAGCCAGGGTGCGTGCGGGAGGCAGCCAATTGATGTGTCTCCCTCCGTCCCTTCCACTCTCTCTAAAAATCAATGGAAAAATATCCTCAGGTGAGGATTAACAAACAACAAATAATAATAATGTGAATTCTGTGGATACGACGATCGGTCCGAGGTCCCTCCAGGACGCCTGCTGGGAAAGGACTGAGCAGGCGGCTCACGCCCGGGACACGTGAGTTGCTCGGGTCCTTATTCCATTTCCCCGCCTCCCGGGAGCACGCGGCAGCACCAGGACCTGATGGGGAGGATGCATTTGGCCGCTGTGCCTCCGTTCCCCGTGTTCTAGAACAGTCTCTCTCTTTGTTGCCATTTCCTCAGGCTGCTTTTTGGAGGGTCTGAGCTGGTGGCTTTGCAGACTGTCTCTCCGTGAGTGCGATCGGCCTGTTTCCTCACCGTTAGGTTCTGGACAGGTGTCTTTTTGGCCGGAAACCCACTGGGGGGCTGGGGGGGGGGCGTGGCGCCTCGGCGTGTCCACCACAGGAGCTGTGACGTCAGAATGTTCTAGCACCAGCAGCCTGGCCACTTGGTTGGTGAGTATCCCTAATTTACGTCCACCCTGGGGGGGTTCCTAGCTCCTGTGGGCAGCCACTCTATGAACCACCCCCCTTTAAAAGGGGAGTCACACTGGCTGTCTGAATTAACGTGCTTTTAAAAATATATAGATACTAGAGGCCCGGTGCACGAAATTCATGCACTGGGGGGGGGGGTTCCCTGAGCCTGGCCTGCCCCCTCTGGTAGTCCAGGGGCCCTCAGGGGATGTCCGACTGACAGCTTAGGCCCACTCTCCTTAGCGCTGCCATGGAGGCAGGAGAGGCTCCCACAACCACCGCTGCGCTCGCCAGCCATCAGCCCGGCTTGTGGCTGAGCTGCGCTCCCCCTGTGGGTGTGTACTGACCACCAGGGGGCAGCTCCTGTGTTGAGTGCCTGCCCCCTGTGGTCGGTGCGCATCATATTGATGAGTCGTTCTACTGTTTGGTTCAGTCGATTTGCATATTAGCCTTTTATTATATAGGATATTATATAGGATTTTTACTTCTTTCAGAGAAGAAGGGAGAGGGAGAGAGAAATAGAAACATGAATGAGTCATTAACCGGTTGCCTCCTGCATGCCCCCTACTACAGCTCGAGCCCACAACTGTGAGCATGTGCTGGGAATCGAACCCAGAACCCTACAGGCCAACGCTCTACCCACTGAGCCAAACTGACTAGGGCAGAAGAGGTGACATCTTCATTGTGAGAATGAGGGGCCCAGGGAGGCGCTGGGCACAGGTGTCCAGGCTGAAGGAGAGACAGGAGCTGGTGGAGGCTTGGCGGCCAGTGCTCAGGGAGCAAGGGTGGCTGGCCGGAGTCTGTGGGGTCAGGGCAGCTGAGCGGGGCCCGGCGGTCGAAGCTGCTCTGGGAGCAGAGGGAAGGGGGACAGGAAGCCAGGGGCGCATCCCGCCTGGGCCTTCAGATCCTTTGAGGTCGCTGTAAACACAGTTGAAATTTGGAGTCAATGTTGACACTGAGTTAAAGTTCCATCTCCCGGTCCCAGGGCAGCGAAGGTCGCGCTCCGCCAGTCGGCGGGGGAAGCAGGGCCACAGGGATTGGCTGAAGGCCTGCACACTTGTTATTTTATTTTTCAAACTAGGGGCCCAGTGCACGAATTCATGCACCTTAGAAGGAACTGTGGGCCATGAGGTGTGGTGGGCACAGGGACGGGTCTCGGCCCATCCTCTGTGCCCCCGCTGGGCTCCTCCCATCACAGCCCCAGTCCCCTGTCTGCCAGTAGCCCTACTCCTACCGCTGCCGCTCCCATGCGCTGATGGTGCCGACCCCACTCGCACACGCTGACGCGCAGAGCAACTCGGGCCGGTGCCATCAGCGGGTGTGAGCAGCAGCTGCTGCCCTGATCGCCCCTCAGGAGCAGGGGGAGGGGGAGAAGCCCTCAGGGGCAGTCGGGGCTGGCAGCCACTGCTCGCACCCGCTGACAATGCCCACCATGTTCTGCACTCTGCTGCCTGCTGCCGATGCCTGCCATGTTCCATGTGCACCCCCTGGTGGTCAGTGCACGTCATGGCGACTGGTTGTTCGGTTGTCATGCTGTTCAGTCTATTTGCATATTAGGGTTTATATAGATAGATAGATAGATCATCTGTTTTTATTTCATTTTTTACAAAATTAATTTCAGAGAGTAAGGGAGAGGGAGATAGAAACATCAGTAATGAGAGAGAATCATTGATTGGTTGGCTCCTACACGCCCCCCACTGGGGATGGAACCCTCACCCGCTGGGCTGGGTGATAATGTTTGACTGGAGACTGCCGGTGGTGACACCTTCCTGAGTGGGCGAATGCTGAGCCGTGCCCGCGAGACCGTCTGTGTGAAGCCGTGCCGTGCGCACCCCGGCAGCCCCATGAACAGGAATGGCAGCTGTGCCCCCTGTGGAGGCCTCTGCCCCGAGCCTCGACCGTCGGGTGAGCGGAAGCGGGGCCTCCTCAGAGAGGGTCTAGAATGGGAGGTGAGGTCGGGTGTGGGCCTCGCCCCCCCCAGTCCCCTCCCTGTTCCTGGGGGAGGGTTTGGGGGGAGGTCAGTGTGGGGGGGCAGGGAGGGGTGCAAAGTGGGCCGACTGCCGTTCAAATAAACACGTCCGCAGAGAAAAGCTCTTTTGTTGTCTTTTTTAATCTCATTATTTAAAAAATATATGTTACAAAACAATATCATTCATCATATATTTCTTGCTTATTTTCCTTTTTAAAAAATTAAAGTAATAAAAAAGTCACTTTATAAAATAATACAAAAGGGCAGGAGAGGCTGGGCCGAGGGCCGGGGGCTG